TGGTGGTCTCACATCCAAATTCTAAGTACACAAATAGATATGCTCAAATTAGTGAAGATTGTTTATTTTCTTTTAACTGTTTCATGCCATTTTCTACCCTAACTTAGTTCCCTTTCGCTTCTGGCTATTTCCTTGAACCTTAAATATGTAAACATGATATTTTCAATGGAAAACATATGTGATTGTTGTAGGAGACATTAAGTTAAGTCATTAACATTTATGATCGTTTCAAATACATCTGTGGCACAAGCTTCATACGTGAATCACATGTACAGAAGTTTAGCATTAAACACTTGAGAGGGATTAAAGAATGGGGAATGATTGAACGGATATGTAATGAATAAATCGATTGAAATTGAAAGTAATGTGTTTTGAAATGTTATGCTTGGTTATGTTTCTACAGGCTGAGTCGTTAAGGAGTGTCATCCAACCAAGCACTGTGAGTAACTTCTTTGTAACAATATTTTCTTATGAAATACTTTGGAATTGTGAAACTTATGCTTTGTATAAATTATGTGCTTTGACGAGTGTTTTCGAAATGATAAATATGCTTGAAATCTTCGGAGCAATTATGTTATGGCAAGTTTCTGAAAGAATGTTTTGATGAGAATGAATGAGTCTCCTTTTGAATAATGATTATGATAAATTTGGAAAATGTACTTTGACCTGCAGTAATCGTTATTTGTCTATGATCCATCTTAGACGTTTTGCATAAGCTAATAATTGGCGATAAACGTTCTGTATGATGTCAACCTTTAACGATTGTCCTGTATGGTAATTCAGCAAGTTAATTAAGACCCTCAGGTATTCCGCTACGACTTGGAGTTATGAAAGGTTTCATAAAAGATTGGTAAGCAATATTTGATACTATGTGATTTGAAACAAGCTTTAATGTGATTGGAATCAGACTTAAATGTATCAGATGATCGAAATGAAGGAACTTCATTAATATTATATGACATATGCAATATGGGCCCGAGGCCGTTTTGATAAATGTTGGGCCCGAGGCTGTTTTGATATATGTTGGGCTCGAGACCGTTTTGATAAATGTTGGGCCGGAGGCCGTTTTGATATATGTTGATAAATATTGGGCCCGAGGCTGTTTTGATATATGTTGGGCCCAAGGCCGTTTGATAACTCAAAAAATTAAAGGATATTTTGAAATTTCATTAAATTGACCCCACTAAATTATATAGTTGAAGAGAATACCGCATTTTAAGGAAAAAAATATTGAAAAAGTTTGCTAAAATGTTATTATTTTAAAATTTAATTCAAAATAAAAAATAAAATAAGATGATTTTAGCTTTTTTTCATATTTGATTTTTTTTTTAGCAAGTTAATACTCACATAATATATTGACTACAAATTGAACCTGCTGACAATAAATTCTGGCTCCGCCAATGAGAGACAAGTATAAAAAATGTCATAATATAACTTTCATTTCCAATTAAATAATAAAAAAAAAAAGACAATCATATGATAGCACATGCCTCGATTATTGATGAGAAGCCAACACAAAAAAGGGGAGCAAACAAACTGCAATCCACAACAATATATTACAACTGTCTAAGCTCACAGCATCGGCTGAGATATTAGTGTGACATCTTGTCATGTTAGGCCAAGTTTAAAAAGATTAAATAAATTTATATTTTTTATTTTTTTATTTTTTTAATTCACATTAATTAATATCTCTTCTCTATTTTTGTACATATCTTTTTATAAAAAGTTAAAAAATACACTTATTTAGAATAATCTCAAACAACCCTTTAGTTACAAGGATAGATTTAGGGGCAGCGGAGGGAGCGGAATCAGGATCCTCTCCTTAATTTTCTTTTCTTGCCTTCTTATTTGTTGGGTCATTGGGCTCATTATTGGGCCCAATTTTAATGATTCGAGCCGTTTATATTTTAAGATTTGTTGAGTATATTATATTTGTAAAAAATTAAATTGATCGGATATCAGAAATTACGTGTTCAGATTATCGAATTAAAAACTATTTTTAAAAAAATTTAATAAACAGTTTTCCAAACACATGCTTTCTGATATCCGATTAACTTGATTTTTTACAAGTATGATATACTCAATAAATCTAAAAATAAAAACGGTTTGGATCAACGAAATTGGGCCCAATAGCCCACAAGTAGGATGTTACGGAAAGAGATCAAGGAGAGGATCCTGATTCGGGAGAGCGACGGCACCCTAAAAGTTTTAAAGAATATTATATATTATATTAGAAAATTTTAAATAATTAAAAATTAAAAAAATTAAAAAAAATTAAAAATTATAATCCCATAATGTTAATTGTGAATCTGTCCTTGATTGGATAAGATTTAGTTATTATAATTAAAAAAAAAAATCTTTAATTATATTACAAGTGATGTATGGTGTGCAATATACACTTGAGATTTTTCTTTCAAGATATTTTGATTATGACACATAACTTACATATGGTGGAACAGTTTTGCGGAGTTTGAACGGTAGGAAGACCCTATGTTTAGAGACTCGCTCAAATGAAATAGAGTTTGAGACGGATGGAGTGGTCAAGAGAAAACAGGGAAACCAATAGGTGTGAAATTTCTACATTCCCATTTGGTGATGAAGGTCGTCCCCCACAACGTAAAAAGCGTTCGTGTTGGTCTGATTTATCAACACGAAAATGTTATGAACGTACACTTATCGATTCATAATTTATTTTGAATGAGTTTGTATGATAGAGATTAAATTGATAAAATGTGAGATTCGTAAGTAAAATAAATTTGAATTATTAATTCATTTTTTTGGAGTAAATTACGAATCAATAAGTATGAATTTGTATTGTTGTTGTTATCCATGACTACAAATGGCTTTATTTTGGAGTATCTGATCAAATTATAAAAAATTATTCACCAAATCACCCTCAGGATTTATGACATGCCCCAAGAAAATTTTTTAAGAAAAATATCTTCTTCGAAAATCAAGGATGCCGCCAAAAGCCAAAAGCTAACTCATCTTCTTCTAATTGCCGCTCTACTTTCATTTCATCGCCCAAATTTTGAGTTCAATGTTGGGTAAACAAAAATGTTTAAGCCTCTCTTTTTCTTCACCCTGTTTGACTCTCTTTTTTTTTTGATTGGCTACTCTTTTTTTTTTTTTCTTTTTCCTTCTCCTCCAATCACCACCCGCCACGTGTATGTGGGGGATTGTGGGGGTGGTGATTGAAGGGGATATCTATCAATGCTCTTACCCTAAATCCCACCACCATAGTCCAAACACGCGAAAAAGTAAACTACATTTGTGGTCCTAAAATTTTAAATATGATCAATTTGGCTAAACATTGAAGAACACAAAGCAAATTATGTTCTAGGAGCTTGTGTTTGGTTCATAAATGTGAGTCAAAATTTGAAAAGAGAAAGTGGAAATGTGGTTAAATGTGAAAATATAATTACATTTTGCAATATTTTCAAACACTTTTTACTTTTCATTTTTTAAATTTGTACCTAAATTTATAATTTAAACACAACATTAAGAAATAATTGTCTAGATGATAATTTTTTTTGAAGTGCCAATTTGGACATTAGTGTGTGCTAACAAATCAAATCCTCGACTTAATTTACTAATTAACTTACAAATTAGATTCTTTAATTCAACGGCAAATTATATTCACCATGATTTTTTATTATTATTGTTATTATAAACTCTATAAAATTTGACATAAGTTACACAAACCTCTCTTTTAGTAAGACTAACGTAGATAGTACCTTAAAACATGAATAAATAAGGGCAAAATATACCTTTCAGTATTGAGGAATGAAAATATCGTTTCCTATCCACATGGGAAATGAATCATTGATGAAAAATAATTAAACGTTACCTAAATTAAAAAAATGTACAGAGCTCGGTGTAGCTATGCCAAATTTATGAAGCTCAATGTATTTTCTCCAAATCTCTGAAGAGGTTATTGCCAATTTGAATAACTCAATGATGCATATATCACCAGCACAACAATCCGCTCATGTGAAAAATCACTAACACCACTCTAGCTATTGGATATAATCAGTAGTTACCATTTTATTGCTTCGTTGTTTATTAGCTTTGCAAATAAAACTTTGATAAATGAACTAAAGAAGTATGGTGGTTTGAAAAATTAAATCTTCTATGTCCATGCAGATTTGAATAATTAAATCTTCTATGTCCATGCAGATTTGAATAATTCAATCTTCATGTAAATGTCAAATAGATACAAAGATAAATCATTTTGGAATTAGATAGTTTTGCCTATAATTTGTAGCAAAAATTGAAGTTCTTACAAATGCATGTGTTACAGAGTTGGGACTAAAATGGAAGCACTATATCATGATTTTTTTTTTTTTTTTTTTGATAGGATAAGCAATTATACAGAAGAAGAAGCCTCAGACACCACCAACGCCATTAAAGAAGGAGGAACTTCCTCCATCCAAACTCGTGGTGAAGCAAAATCAAAGGCGAGCCTACTTAAGCAATGAGCCACCGAATTGCCATCTCTACAAACATGCGAAACCGATGAAGAATGAAACCGCAAAAGAAGCGCTTGAGCCATACCCACTAAATGACCATAGCAAGATTGTTAGTAATGGGCGCCCATGTGGCATGACCATTTGAACATAATTTGGATCTTATCCAAATAGGTTTTGAATTAAATTCAAACCTATTTAGGATAACCACTCAGGATATAGATATTATCAATTTTAACTGATATGGATAAATAATAATAATATATTATATATCTGATATATGGTTATGGGTAACTAAGAGAGAAACAACGTATGTTTTGTTTCTACCCATGAACTTACTCTCTCCCAAGAAACAACGATCAAGTCATTTGCACTATGATTTGTGTGGGTGATATTCAACCTGTGATATCACCCCACTGCTGGGTTGGTTTATCAATTAAATTCTGGAAGTACGTGATTTATCCACGAGGTTCTATCATCAAAAGGTATGATCTAAACATTTTATTCCGCTGCATGTTTTTATACTCTGATTTACAAAGATAAATTATCCTCCTTGCCTTGGATTGCAGTCACCACATTTTGAGAATCACGTTCAAGATGAATATGACCCAAACCCAAAGCACATCCCAATTGAAGGGCTTTGATCGCACCCATAGCTTGCACACAATCAACATCCTCCAAATACGGGATCCGCTCAACCATAGAAGCAATGACTGCCCCATGACAGTCCCGAATAATAATCCCAATACCAGCACTGGCTTGGGCCTTTCTAATGGAGCCATCGAAATTCAATTTAAAGACACCCTCACTTGGCACAACCCATCGTCGCGTCCGCACCTGAGCCGCAGGAAGTTGGCTGCACTGTTGAGCTTGATCATAGTCGGATACATAGTTCACCGCAAAAGAAACAACCCCCTCCACAGTCCTAGATTTATTTTCGAAGATAATTGAGTTCCTATTATTCCAAAGACACCAACATATAGTGATAAATAACCGCATGTGCTCTATATCAGTCTTGTCCATGAGATTACAAACCCACTCAAAGCAATTGGTAACATGAGTAGAGCTGATAACCATATTTAGCAAACTCGACATCCAAACATTCATTGCAAACCTGCAATTGTGAAAACAATGGCAACCTTTTCAGCCTCAACTCCACACCCTGCACATAAATCCATATTGACGATATGCCGTTTTCGCAAATTGGCCCTTATGGCTAGCAACCCAAGACACATTTTCCATCCAAAAATCTTGAGTTTATACGGAAGATGAAGCTTCCATAAAGCTCACCAAAGCTGCCGTTGCGACTGTCCATTATTGAAGGTAGCACCGTGCCCAGCTGAAGAGGCCATATCCACACAAAAATGATAAGCTGAGCGCACCGAGAACTCGCCATTTCTTGAAAAATGCCAGACCAATTTATCCGAAGGTAACGTTGGACAAATAGGAATGCATCAGATAGCCTCCACATCCATTCCCAAAAAAGTTTGAGTAAGCATCTCATCATGCCATGCACCCTTCTCGGAATCAATCAATACACTAACCGTCTCATCGTCCGAAATGGTCGAAGGTGGCAAAATTACTTTAAAAGAGTGAGGCAGTGGAACCCATTTATCATCCTTAACCGAAATGCTCGCACCATTCCCAACTCGCCATCGTAGTCCGACATTTAGTAAGCTTCGAGAGCCGACTATACTCCTCCAGGTGAAGGATGGGTTGCACCCAACCGAAGCATTAAGAAATGAAGTTTGAGGAAAGTACCTAGCCTTGAACACCCTCGCAACCAATGATTGAGGCCACTGCACTAAACGCCAACACTGTTTGGCCAACAAAGCCGAATTAAACAGTTGTAGGCACCGAAACCCCATACCACCATGCAATTTAGACTTGCACAATTGTTTCCAGCTAGTCCAATGAATTTTACGGGTTTCCTCTTTTTGTTCCCACCAAAAGTTACACACCATAGAATCAATTTCATGACACACTCCATCAAGAAGACGAAAACAGGACATAATGTAAGTGGGTATAGCTTGGGCAACAGACTTAATTAGTACCTCTCTACCCGCAACCGATAATGATTTTTCCTTCCAACCATTTAAACGATGCCATATGCACTCCTTAACAAACCCCCAAACTGCGCTGTTAGAATGCCCCACACAATACGGTAACCCCAAATACTTTCCGTAAGTCGCCAACGAACCCACCCCAAGAATGGATATCACCCCTTGCTGAGTAGCCAAGGCTGTATTCTTACTAAAACAAACAGCCGATTTTTGGAAATTAATTTTCTGCCCCAATGCTTGCTCATACGTTTGGAGAACATCTCGCAACACACCCGCCTCATCTTCCTTAGCAGCTGCAAAAAGAAGACTGTCATCAACAAAGAACAAATGCGACAATCGTGGACTACCCTAGCAAATTGAAATCCCGGCAAGCCGGTTCCCTGTCATAGCATGGGCGAGGAGCACCGACAGTCCCTCCGCACAAATAGTGAACAAATATGGCGAAAGTGGATCCCCTTGGCGGAGGCCCCTTGTTGGGTGAAACATTCTTGAAGGTTTCCCATTAACAAGAACGGAAAAAGATACTGTGGCTACACAATTCATGAGTAGTTGCACAAACTGTTGCGGAAAGCCTAACTGGAGCATCATGTGATGAATAAATGGCCATTCCACTCGGTCATAAGCTTTACTCATGTCAAGTTTCAGCGCAAGACAACCATCTTTTCCCGCCCTCTTGTTCTTAAGAAAATGGAACACTTCAAAGGCCACCAACGCATTATCGGTAATCAAACGGTCAGGAATAAAAGCACTTTGAGTGTTGGAAATAACAGATGGCAGCGCCTCTTTAAGACAATTGGCCAACACTTTTGCAATGATCTTATAGACCACATTACACAAACTAATTGGCCGAAATTCTGACATTAGCTTGGGATTTTTAATTTTAGGAATCAGCACAATAAAAGTATGATTAATATGAGAAATCTCATCAGCCCCATTCAACACCCCAAGCACCGCAGTACTCATACAGGACCCACCACTCGCCAAAATTTTGGAAAAATAATGCAGGCTTACCATTGGGCCCGGGAGCCTTCGTTGGATGCATTTGGAAGAGTGCATGGTGGACCTCAACTTCAGAAAAAGGTCTATTCAGTTGAGACACATTATGAACGGAAACTCTCGCCTGAATCAACTGCAAAACTAGGTGCATATTCAGACCCTCACCGGCCGAAAATAACTCCTGAAAGTAAGTCACAAAATTGTCCTCCACCACACTTTGATCCTTCTGCCAAATTCCATTAGGATCAACAATCCTAGCAATCTTCTTCTTCTGATGTCGTTGGGTGGCCTTAGAATGAAAAAAAGAAGTATTACGGTCCCCATCCTTTAGCCAATTAGCTCGAGCACGTTGACCCCAAAAAATAGACTCCCGTTCTAAAATCTCATCAATATCACAGCGTAGCTTACACGCTTCTGCAATATCTTTCGGAAGATTGGAACTCAGCGTAAGCAACCGCTGTAAGTGATCGGTTTTCTCCTTCAACTGCCGCTTGACACACCCAAGCACATTACGTTCCCACCGTCTCAACGAAGAACTTAGAAGTGAAATATTATAGACCAGACTCCGAACATCTGCAGTAGAAGAGGGCAGCCAATTATCGGCAACTATTTGCTCACAACTAGCATTCCGTAAGCACAAAGCTTCAAACCAATACATGTAATGACAACGAGCATGAAATTGACGCTGTTCCTTAGCCCCACACAGGTCAACACAAATAGGTAGATGATCGGAGGATGTGCACGCCATAGGATAAACCTTTGCATGGGGAAACAAAAGTTGCCAAGCATCATTAGCTAGCCCACGGTCCAATCTCTCCCGAACCAAAGCGTCGCCACTTCGGTTATTACACCAAGTGAAGAGTGGCCCAACAAAACGCATATCAGCCAGGTGTGCATCTGCGATGATAGTTCGAAAATGTTCCATTTGTCATATACTACGCCCCACTTCACCACACTTCTCTTGACAGAACAAAATTTCATTAAAATCACCCGCACAAAGCCAAGGCATCTGGAAACATGTTGCTAGTCTTCTCAATAAGGCCCAAGAATGTTTCCATTGTGCCATGTCCGGGTGTCCGTAAAACCCTGTAAATCTCCAAGGTTGTTCCCCCAAACCAGCTTCCACAAAGACATCAATATGACCAACCGAATAACTTTTCACACTAACCTAGATACCCGCAGGCCATAACAGCGCCAGACCGCCCGCAAGTCCAACTCGATTGACATAAAAACCACCACATAGTCCCAATTTTTGCCGAATCCCATCCATATGCTTTGTATCGAGCTTGGTTTCCATGAGAAAAACCGGCCCAGGAACTTCCTTTTTCAGTAAAAACTGAAGTGATCGAATTGATTGTGGGTTCCCAAGCCCACGGCAATTCCTGCATAACACATTCATTGCGATCGGCGGGGCTGAACATCAGCCTCCACTGTTGGAATATTGGTATGTGGGTTGATATCATCACCCCCATGCACACACAAACGTTTACCAGCATTCACAACCCAAGTCTCATCACGCTGAGGCACACCACAATCGACCACCTCCTCAATCACTCGCTTAGTCACTGTAACAGTTGAGGTATCAGGCTGGGAATCCATATGCTGGTGGGCCACCCTCTTCCACTTCTTTTTAAGCAACACTGTTTCACCCAATGGGCTAGCCTCAACCTCCATCAAAACATTAGGAGCAATGGGAGAAATTTGGGCCACCCAAACTGATTCAATTAGATTGGGTTGAACCCTGCCTAGGCCCAAAATGTTACGTTTAGAAGGAAGCCCAGGCCCCCCTTCTTCAGCAACCTCCCGCCCATTCATAAATTCAAACGGAGGTGAAGAAGGTGAAATTATGGTAAGCCCCGGATTAGTAGCCTTATGTACCTCATTTTCTTGACTGACTCCATTAATCACGGATAGCAGAATCTCTCCATCGTGTTCGTGCCGATCTCGACACCGGTCAAGTACCACAGCCACCGGAGCACAGGGTTGCGAAATACTCTGCGGTGCCCCCTCTCCCCTAGGCACAGGCTCAGAAACACTCTGCATCTGAGTCCCTTGACTAACAAATGACCGAACCGCAACACCTCCAGTAATCGGAATAGCTCTACGAGGCCTTTTGGCTTTGAAGGTATCCATTCTCAACCAGGCCCCATATTGCTGCATATCAACCAGAGTTCTATCTACAGAAGAGAGTTTGGCATCACATTCTCGATCGCTATGGCCTAGCAATCCGCAAAAATGGCAAAAAATCGGGAGGCGCTCATATTTGAAATCCACCCAGATAGGATCTGCAGCGGACAAAGATAATTTCATCCCCCGCCGTAGAGGCTTCCGAACATCAATAGCCACCCGAATCCGCATTGTGCGGCCCCATGCAATGCCACTATCTTCAAAATCCATATCAATAAACTGCCCAATAGAATTGCCAACTATTTGACCAACCTCTTTATTCATAAGAATTAGAGGAAGGTTGCAAACATGCACCCAGAATTGCACTGATGCCAATCGGATGTCTGAAGGTTGAACGTGGGGATCCATCTCTCCTAATATTAGAAGGTTCTTATCGAACGTCCAAGGGCCATTCAAAAACACGCGCCGTTTATCCACAACACGACCAAAGACGAAAATAAACAAGTTGTCACCAATGACTCATACCTGCATTCCTTTGGTGGGTTGCCGCACAGATAATAGAGTACTCTTCATCTCATCAAAGTTAAACGGCCTACGAGTGAGTAACTTGCCGACAAGGCACATATCCGATTTGCCCATCATCGATCTTGTAGAGTCCCCTCCAAGACGCACAACTGTGTCCTCCTCCAAAGTAAGAGATAACTTACTAGTAAGATCGAGAAGGGAATCAGCCATCTCGCCACTAACGCCTCCTCCAACCTTTTACCGTGAGAAGAAAACCTTGCACAAGGCAAGAAAAACCTTCACCCTAGAGTGAGAGAGAGGACTCAAAACTATCATCACTATATCATGAAGTTTAAAGAATAAAAAAACATGTTTTTTTTTCCTTTT